AATGGGCCCATAGACTGTGCCCTGCGGGGCGCCACTTTTCGAGGGATACCATTCGGTCAGATGGTTGTCCATCTTCATCCCCCACGTCCGACCAATAAGGAAGTTACTGAACCCCTGGTACAGTGAGCCACCAACACCGTAAATGTTCAGCATCTGAAGGAGGACCTCCTGGTTCACCTTATCAAACGCTTTACTGAAGTCGATGTAAATGACGTCAACTGACTTCCCTTGGTTTAGCGCTTGCAATCATTCGTGCCTCGAGAGCAGCAGGTTTTTGGTGCATGACAGACCTTTCATGAAACCGTGCTGCAGGGAGTCAAAATGCATTTCGACTTTAGATGCTGCAGAAGACAAAACTTCGCGAACTTCTCGATTGTGTTAGCCAAAACTGAGGTTAAGCATTTCGGTCAGTAGTTGTCCACTTGCTCGGATAGCCGATTTTCAGTATCGGTTTCGCCACTGAGCATTTCCAGTCACTCGGCAATGAACCAGCATAAAGCGATCTGTTTAATAGCTCAGTCACCGAAGGCATGATGATGACCGATAGCGATTTGAAGATCAGTGGATTGAGCCCACCAGGTCCCGTAGGCTTGGTACCGTCAACACTGGTGAGAAATTTGTGCACATCCTCAAAGTTGTAATCCAGACTGTCCAGCTCGGTAGGGGCGATATGCATCGAACTTGGGACGGGCGCCTGATTACCTGTGAAAACGGAAGGGAAGTGCGTCGCTAATGCGGAAACAGCTCAGTGCTGGGAACTAGGGCCTGCCCATCCGAGCCTTCCACCACTGGTATATTACCTGTCGGTTTCAAGCTTCGCTTCACGTATGCTAAGATTTGCTTGGGAGCTGTTTCTGCTATGGTTGCAAGCTCCTCTTCAAAGTTTCGGCGTTGCTTGTTTTCACCTTTTTGCAGGCATTTCATTGCCTCCTGTACGTCTCGTCATCTTCGGCAGAGCCAGAGTGCAAGAATTAATTCCATAGCTGGCATCACCGTCGAGCCAGTTTGCCATTCTCGTTGTCAAACCAGTGTGGCTTGACTGCTTCAACATTCCGGTATTTGAGAAGCACATATCGAGTGCACAAAGATTCTACTCCCACTTTTATGATAGACCAAACGGCTTCAACTGATGAATTTTGTGATAGCGTCGGCTCGTAGCCTAGTGGTAACGAACTTGTCTCGTAATCTTGCGGCCCGGGTGCGGATGCGCGTAGGGGTGGGCGTCCTTACGATATACTCAGCTCACGTGCGCTTGATGGTGGTCGCACGACATCGAAGCGCCGTTGCGACGTATGATTGACACATTGTAGTTATTATTATTATTATTATTCTGTGGTAGTGAACAGTCCATCAGGCTAGAGGCTCAAGTAAGGCTATTAAAGTCCGCCTTTTAGTAGTTGAGGCGTGACTTCAGTAGAGGTGTAAACGGCGGTGCTAGTTCTAAGCTTGTCAAGAGCATCGATTGGTCACTAGCTTCCAGGACTCAAGGAATTGAATATCACGCACACGTTGATCGCAACTGGTCAGCAACAGGTCAAGGTACGAAAGCGTCGAGCGCGCGCTAATGCGCGTTAGCTTATTGATGAGCCGTAAGGCCCCAGTGTCAAACATCATCTCCCCAAATTTCGTCTCGAATTCGCATTGACCGGGGAGAGTCTCAACCTCGGGCCACCGTATTCGTGGAAGTCGAAACCGCCCAAAAGCAGGAATCGTGAACGACTCATGCGGTTGCGCACTTGAGGCAACCAGTCCAAGCTGCGGCTTAGTGGACGACGATACACAACACCCAGGGGGAGTTCGTCCCCTCTCAGCTGCTCACACAGGCCATCACTGATCCTGTAGATACGCACGTGTCTCTCGCACAAGGAAAACCGTGTGTAAAACAGCGCGCCACCGCGGTCATTTGATAGGCTAGCACAGCGGAAGTAAGCATACCAGCTGATTTTGACTTCTTGCGCGGTTAGCTCTGAATCTAACCAAGTTCCAGCAAGGCCCAATATGTCTGGTTGCTGAGAGGAGACGAAGTGATAAACGTCTCAAGTTTGTTCATTAAACTGCAAACGTTTGTAATGGCTACACACAGACCGCGGCAGGAACTTTTGGGCGTTCTAGAAGCATTAGCGACCTGTTCATCCGGATTCGGGGAGGAGTTAGGAGAACTATGCGAAAATTTACTATGCGGAGCATTGTTTCCCGCCTTCAATGTGTCGCTTTAGGTCAATCATGGCAAACTTGAGTTTTTCCCAGTCTGTTGAACCGATATCTACGCGCACCTGGATCTTAAAACACTCAAGTCTACCGAGGCGCGATAACAGCAACCTCGGAGGAGCTTCGTCAGCAAAAGGGACCCTCATGGGTCGAACTTTTCACTCAGTTTACTTTCCAAGACGAGTGGTTTGCTTTACTTTCAGCCGGTTTTCACAAACGTCGAGCAGTCCACCAACCAGACTCTGCAAAAGCCAAACTTGGGGGTACAAATCCGACGATTTAGGAGCATGGAAGCCCATCAAGTTACGACGCCTCAGGTCGCTGGGAGAAGTTTTCTGTTTCTTTGGTCATTGTGTTTGCCAGAGGTCGTCACTACCTGGCTTTACACGCATTCCAGTTGCAGTGGCCGTCGAGGGAGTAGCATATGGTAAAGACGGGCTACTCAGCAATCTAGCATTTCGCTTAGCAGAGCTGGTGGTAGGCGTGCAAGGTGTGTTTATCTGCGTTATTTTTGTAGAGTTTACAGAGCTGTGGGCCTTGGAACGCCTCGCTTTGCAAATAAGTCGATTAGGTTTCCCAGGGGGCTTAGGCTGCAGTTTGCACTGACACTCCTTATATATAATCTTGATAAACGCATGCTGAAGCTCGCGGAGAACGCAAAACTGGTCCAAACAAAGGACAATATACGAAATGTGTAAATTCACCTGGTAAACGCCACATAAAACTACGTTTGCGCGATACCCAACCATCATAGAGCAATTTCCGTAGGGACCATTTTCACCATTTTCAAATGTATGATGATGATGCTGATGTTGATGGGATATATCTAGGATAATTTTCATGCATCTGTTCTGGGTCATTATATTTGTTAATGCTTACGAAGTTATCAGAACCATAAATGAAAATTTGTCGACCAGTCCCAATGCCGGAGAAATCTGTGACACTGTTTAGAAATAAACGCACTATTATTTATCTATTTATCTATTTAACTTGATTGGTGTGTACGACACCTAAGCTCGTGGATGAGGCCTACCCCATGGGAGCTTTGAAATTTATTGCACCAATCCAATAGGTTGGGCTATGTCCCTTAACTTAGACCGATATCAACATACACATGTTCTTTCACTTTGCTAACCCAGTTAGAGGTTCACTGCTGCAAGTACCGTAAGCTGCTACCCTCGTTTTCAAACTTTCGTCACAGGCCCCTAAGAGTCTGACAACAGGTAGCTCAGTGAAACCACCAACACTTCATCGCACAACACATCAATGCTACCATTCGGGACGTAGACTAGCACTGCATCTAACCCCTGCTTAAGTCCAATTCCTTCTATCTGATGTCCGTTCTCCTTAGAGACCAAAACATAACGTGTGTTTAATCCTAAACCGACCCTGATTGAGCATAAAACCCCATGACTCGCAGGCACGGGCTCAACCAATAAATTTTCCCGCATGAATGTGTCCCACAAGGTACGACGGGTTGATTTGTCTTGTTACTGTTTTCTAGGCAGAATTCACTTTAACTTATCATTGCCTTCTCAAATGGACTATGCTTAAGTATACGTGGCGTGGCTTGGCTCGAAGTCAAGTGTTTCGTGTCGGAATTCGTCACCGCAACTCCCATAATTTACACGGTGAGAAGACAGAAATGAGGTAACGCAGCAGACAAGGTCTTTAGTCTTCGGTGAGTTTTATCGCAAGCGATACTTACAATAAATGCCATCTTAATTAATTAAACAATTTCCATATTGTGTTAGGAAATTTGTACTTGCATCGCATAATACTTAGGCGTTGTATAGAATACGAACGCGTACATTTGGGTTGGTAGTAGATTCCACGGGAAGAAAGCAAACAATTTCCCCTAGCTCGTTAGTGAAGAGTCCCTCTTAAATCTGACCTACCAACACACTTACTGTTGAAGTACATTCT